GCGCGGCCCAGCGCCGGCAGCCCCAGGGAGCCGTGAGAGGGGCCGGCCGAATGAGAAGGGCCTTTGAAGGCCGAGAGGGTCGGGCTCATGGGTTCCGTTTTGACCATAACTGGGATAGTCGTGGCAGCCGGGGCTGATGGGAGCTGCTGATCGGGATTAGTAGGGCTGGCGCCATGCAAGAGGGAGGCCGATGAGCCACAGTTGACTGGCATAATCGATGGCGAAGTGGTTAGAGGTGACTGTGCAGGCAATGTTGGAGGAGTAGAACTAGAATTGGCTACAGATGGGGATGGAAGACCTGGAAAAATGGCCAGCCCGGGTGTGGAGGAACGCTGTGGGGTGGGGGTGGCTGATGGCGTGTAACATTTGTTGATGGAGGAAGCGGGAGGGTCAGAGCTTTGATTAGCCAGAGCAGACAAAGAAGCAAGCTCATTTGTCATAGCAGAAGGTAACGCAGATGAATTGATTAATGAAGTGTCATTGGATGTCAGAAATCCCTTCAAGACAGACAAAATTGGGTTAGGCAAGCTAAGCGAACCAGGAATGGTAGTGGCGGGAGAATTAGCAATTGTGGATGGAACAGGACTAGAAATCCCTTGGGCGTTGGGTGGCAAGGACAAAGGGAGGCCAGGGAAAACGGATGACAATGGAGTGGGGTTATTAGCAGAAGCAATTGAAGGGGTTGCAGAAAATGGGAGGCCAGCAAATGGTGCAGCAGCAGATGCAAAAGCTTCGCTGGGCGCCGGCGTGGCGCACGGTGTGGAGGAACCTTGCGGGGCTGGCGTAGCACTGGGCAGAGAAGCCAGCCCAGAAAAAACTCCAGGGACAGGGGTAGAGGTTGCACTGTGAACAGATGTGACGGGAACACCGGGCAACGAAAGGGATTTGATGACAGTAGGGGTCGGGGTGGATGGCTGAGATGTGTGGATGGAAGAGGAGACCTGTCCTGGGAAAACAGGAAGGACAGGGGTAGACATGTTCATCCCAGAGATGAGTGGAGTTGCAGGTGCTAATGGATGGCTTATTGCCTTGACAGGTGATGGGGTAGGGACTGGAGTAGCAGCAGGTGTTGAAGGATTAGAACCATGAGGAGTAAAGAGCTGATTCGCTTGTGCAGAAAAAGCTGCAAAGAAACAAAACTGGTAAGAATACTTGAAACTGTCAGAAATGTTTGAAATTAACACAAACACATTTTATACAGCATTTCAGAATATGATACACAGGCAATAGCTAATGTACAACATCTGTATACAAACAGTGAACACTGCAGCCTATGAAAACAAAACCAAAAGGCACGTACAAACACTTCACACAAGTTGTACATCATGTAGGTGACCACTCTGGAAAACACTTTGTGACATCTGCTACCTCTTTGTGATCTCATGCAAGACAGCTAGACACTCAAATATACTTCATAACACCCTCCCTCTGGTGCCTAACATCTGGCAGAACCCAAACCAGATCTAATATTCCATCAGCATCAGATCACCTGGGCTCCTCTGCATCCACTCTCACTGAAGGGCAGAATTTAGTTCAGAACCAGTTAATTCAAAGTATCATGATTTCAGAGAAGTTTAGTCAACAGCTGGAGAAAGCTGCTTTCAGGTGCTGGTATTTTTCTCTCCTCAAAATCAGGTCATTCTCTTCACTGTGTTTCCTTCAGATTTTGCTTCTAAGAAGGTACACTTTTACGTTCATGTATCCCACTACAGTATTAAACTAACATTAGCACTTGAATTTATCAACAAATATTTCTGCAAGACTTTAGTCAGGCATCTATAATTGAGGCAAGCACTAGGAATATCAGCTTATATCAACCCTACAGAGTCAAAGAGACACCAGTCCAACTGGAGGAAAGCAGGCAGACACACTGTGAATGGGGATGGGGAGGTTAATGGGAAGATGCTGCATGTATGACCACTCTGTCTAGTTTGCTGTGGAATATGAACATGTTAATCCCTCCTCCCAAACAACTCTTATGCTTTGTTTTACTTTTAAAATAATCTGTTCAACTGTAAGCAAATCACTGATCCAACCAGTCAAACTCATCACCAGTAACTCTGTAACACCTCAGATTTCTCTCTTGCCTGAATTCTACATATACCCACACAAAACCAACACCAGAATCTTTAAAACACTGGACAAGTTGATATGACAAACTCTTATTTTATGTATCTTGAAACTCTCAAACTATCAAGTTTGCAAAGAAACTGTTTCCTTTTACATATTCTTTTCCAAAAACCTAGACTGAGATTGCCCAGCTCAGGATTCTGCCCTTTCCTCATCCTGTTTCCAAGCTGAAGACTCTCCTAAAGATCACAGCTGTTAATCCTGACAGCCAAGATAATCACCAGAGAAATTACTGCTGCAGTAGAAACCAGAGCTAACTACTACCCATTGCTAAATTTCTCCTCCTAAGAGAAGATTTTGTTCCTTACACTGTATTCATTTAGCTATGTAAACTACCCTGTAAATACATGCACACATAAAGGGGAATAAAGCAATTCTTTACAACAACATTTCTGTAGAACCATCCCTGGACATAGAGGAGAAAAGATAAAACAAGTTGTTTTTTTTCCCCAGAGAAATATTTACAGGAGTTAAACCCACCATGGTCATGTTACCTATTTTGGGTATTTGTTAATATGCCTGACTCAACACTCAGTAGAATCTCAGCCTGTCAAACCTAACAAAGTATTATCAAAGCTTTTGTACAAGTAGTTCATAACTGGATTTATTATTATGACTTGTACCAAGTGTACAAAGCACCACACAAGTAAAGAACAAAAAAAAACCCCACACCTCTCTCTTCTGCAAAAATAATTGTATTTTAAAGGGTAAGACAAAAGTGCAGGTAGACACAGTTGGATGTAACCAGTCTGGGACAAGACATTCTACACATGGATTTCAACAAACTATAGACAAAGAATCTGTCTCTCTTATATTCCTCACTTGCCTTGCAACTAATACATGTAATAAAAATCTCAATGAGTTTGCAAATAGATGTCCAGAATTTTTACAACTGCTAAAATATTACTGAAGTGTTTCAGTGCACTACATAGACAAAAGGGCAGGTAGACACAGTTGGATGTAACAGTCTGGGACAAAACATTCTACACATGGATTTCAACAAACTATAGACAAAGAATCTGTCTCTCTTATATTCCTCACTTGCCTTGCAACTAAAACATGTAATAAAAATCTCAATGAGTTTGCAAATAGATGTCCAGAATTTTAACAACTGCTAAAATATTACTGAAGTGTTTCAGTGCACTACATTGCAATGCACATTTTGGCTTAGTGTTTTGCACGATTTCTCACATACTTACATGCTAAAGAATATAAAACTTTAATGAGCTAACACAAAAGGCTAAATTGTAATGTTTCTAAGTGCCAAATGCCTGAGATTATTTGTTTCTCAGCTCTCAAGGGATCCTATTCTAATAGTAGTTGAATAGAGTCTTATGAAAATCCCACTAAACAAACAAGTTGTTTACATTTTCTGAACAAATAACAAAGATGAAATCAACACAAAACTCCCCCTGTGGATCTGCCATTTACCTTGATTTTGGGAAGGTTTTGCCTGGCTGGAAAGGTCTTCATTTTCTAAGCAGAGAATAACAGCTTGTTATTGAAAAGCAAATGAAACTCCATGGGTGAATGATCCATTCACAACAATGAATGAGAAGAAAATACCCCCAGCAGTTTCAAAGGTGTGCATGCTTTACCTGACACCACTTGACTAGCAGTGTAAGCAGCAGGAGCAGCAGGTAAGCCTGGAGCTACCACATTGGCCATTGGAACTAAGCCAGCATTGTTGTAAGCACCTAAAATAACAAAGGCAACACAGGACTCAGCAGTCAGAAGAACCCACACCCACAGGAACCAGTAAGAGTCTTTCCCTTTACAAGAAGGTTTTCAAGATTGTAAGACACTCCTTCACCAAAACCCAGAGCAGTTAATCATCCAGGCTGGATGCTGGCTTTTGCCAGGGTCTGCCTGAGTGACATGAACTGTGATCCCAATTTTAGTAAGGGCAGTTCTCCCAGAAAAGACTGAAAAAGTGAGGTCTCAACTGCTTTCCATTCCATTATACCTGAAAAACTCAAAGGGGAGGAGTGATTCAGAGTGTCTGCAGCATCATTTGTTCTTTTTCTATTCCTAATTTAAAGGCTTGCAGCTCTTTCCATAACATTAAGGCTTTGAGAAACAAAAGAGCCAAATGTACATCAGCACCATGATCATGACCTTCAACACTGGTCAGAAAATTCAGAGAAAAACATCCCATCTGAAATACCTAGTTTCTCATCCTTCAATATTTCTTTAAATGTTAAGAAATTAATTCAAATTATTTTAATATAAAATACCTATTGAACTTAGTATATTGAAAAACCCAAACTTTTTCCCTCCCTTATTCTTTGGAGTAACTCAAACTGTTGTCTTACTGTGGTATGCAGTTCACAGTGGCCCTGAATGATCATTTTAAGAGCTTAAGAACTTACACTTCATGGGAAAAGGCAGCACTTGAGCAATGCTCAAAGTGCAGTAGTTTGTCATACCCAACTCCTTTCTGCTTTCACACCTCCATAATAGCTCTACCTAACATTAGGATTCCTTTTATGACAACTCTGGGCTGAAAATCAGAACGTAGCTAACAACCATTGCATCACCCAGGAAGGAAATGTTAAACCAACACATGTAAGAGAGAGAAACCAAAATAACATTCTGACCATTGCTTCAAAACTATCAGTTTTAGGTCAGCATCTACAATCTCACCAAACACATTTAAATACATATAAATATATAATCAGTTATGAGTTTTGTTGACACAAGAGGGTTTTTTTTTAAACACATTTCAGCACAAGGCCCTGACACCTCAAAAGCTTGTTTCATGTACTAATATTTATATCCACCCATGGGCCAAATTCTGTGCCCTAGCTTACTTTGGATAGGATTTATTTAAGGTACTTCTGAGCTAGTCTGCATGTTTCCTCTACACTTTCTGGGAGCAAATCATCAGGGCTTACTAGAGCCACCAGTAGTGCCTATTTTCCCAAACTGATCATAATGAGATTTGCAGATATCAAGTTGGTTGGATGACACCCTTCAACAAGCATGCTAAGAGCTCTATCACATTTTCTTATCAAATACCTTAAAAACTCCCTGAAATCCCTAACAGTGAAAAGCAAGCTTCCTAACCCATGGAACTTCTGCAGTACAGAGTGACAAGATTTGGAGGAGCTTTCAGCTGCTGCTCAAAAAGACCAGTCTGACTACATAAATGCTCCACCCTCTTCTTGCAAAGAAATGGCAATTGTCTTGCACACTCCCAAAAAAGTCTGGAATCAAACTCTTGATGCAGCAGAGCAAAGAGAGAGAAGTTATGAAGGAAGACTCAATGTCACCTAAGGAACAAGGCTAGGAATAGTCAGACCAAACACAGGAAAAGGCAATCACTATGTCCCTTTTGAGACAGAAATCTGCATGCTTCAACTTTCCATTTAGGAACCTGTTTTCTCTCTGTTGTGATGGGAGAGAAAGTGAAGCTGTAAGCAACTGAGAAACAGATTACCCCTTCAATTAAGAAACAGATTACCACCCTTGAGCATGTTCACACATATTTTCACCCAATTCAGGGCTGTGTCTGACCATATCCCTAAGTTTGGTACAAAAGCAACAAGTCCACAGACTTGTCAAGCCAAAGCCCAAACCTTGGTCCAACATTACAACAAAGACACAGCCCTGGTCTCATCCAACATGCACAATGCCCCCCATAAATGAAATATTTTGTCATCAGAACAAGATTATGAATTCTCCTTATGATGTGGATGTTGGAGAAAGAAGTCAATATATTCCTCTTTTTATCAGCTCTGCAGTCATGACAGGTAGAGGGAGAAATCAGCACCCAGAACATGTTTAGGGAGCATAACCGATTTCAGATACAATCCTGGTCAGAGAAACTGATGTTTGACTCTTATTTGACACTTATTACTTAAAAGGCAAATGGATGAAACAACAGCATGAAGCTAAAACACAGAGAAGCCTTACTTGGTGCAATAGTTGCATGTGGCCGACAGGGTGGGATGGGGTAAGGGACTGGTTTGTGTGGATTGTAGGTTGATGGAGCCTACAGAAACAAAAACAAATGAGAGAAGCAATAGTGAAAGCATTACCTAACATTTCTCAGACAAAAAGCTAACTACTACAGACAGCTGTCCTTCACTGCAAAAACATTTGATATAAAATTTCTTCATAGTATCCACAGGGACTGCAAATATTTTACTCTTTCTGAGAAGAATGGAACAAACATCACTAAATTACCTTTAGATTTGAATGTAATACTGAACACACGTGAGAAAGGGAACTCCTTCCTCCCTTGTAGTCTTCACTTTCTGCAGTCTCAGACTGATTTCTCATTTTAAAGATTTAGCACATTTAAAACTAAGAATTACTTATGAAGGCACCTGTCCCTTTAAAATAACACAGCTTAGTGGGAAACATCTCAAAAGTGAAAATAAAACATTTGGACAATACTTTTAAAGTAGCATCAGGTTCACTGAAGGTTTGTCCCACATGCTTAAAAATGTTGAAATACAGATCAGTTGTTTTGTTAAGAAATTAGAACCTCTTTCTAAGGCACTGAATTGTCTGATGGTTGGGCTTTTTTTCTTTAAAGTTTCATTTATTTATTCATGTATTAAGACATACTGGTTTGGATGGTCCAAGTATACGGGCTGCTATTCCCTTTCCTTCATTAGTACATTCCTCTGTGTCCTTTTTGATAGGGGTTCCCTGAAACAAAACAAAAACTATTAAGTATTAATTCAGAAGTAAACCATGATATAGAATTTCTGACATTTTTTTCAAAACAGCATTCAGGTTTTTTAATATTGTGAAAGTGATGCTTAACCAAGTTTGGCTGGGAAACATAAACTGCATTCTAAGCTTGTAAGATGATAACTAAGAGCATTCCAATAGCCTGGTCTCTAACACTGAGCTTTTGTAAAAACAAGTATATTAAACAGTCCATGTTTCTGACAGAATTCTGCATTCTGACTTGTGGGCATGATAACTTATAATTTGCAGTCCCTTAAGAGGGAAATACTTAACATGGCTTTTCAAGAACTACACTAAGATTAGCAGTAGTATTGTAGTGACCATATCAGGTCATCTTACCAACCTACCAGGTAAGGATCTTTACACCTCTCCTGATTCTGCCAAATACTGCTGGAGTTTGCAACGTTTTCCTTATATGACCAATATCTTACTTATGCAGTAATCTTTGCTTGAAGCAACATGGAAAGAACAGGAAAATAAAACCAATGCATGTTCCCTATAAACTTGAAATGGAATAGCACAAAAAAACCCCCAAACAATTCCTTTTGATTCCACTCCTCCTTCCATGTATATGAATCCTGGTTTTGGTTGTACTACAGTGAAGTCTAAACCATGGATGCTGTGAAAGTCAAAAGCAAGGATCAGACTTACTGGGAAAATCCCATTTATGCGGCTTGGCTTGCCCTTGGGGTAGGGGTTGCCAGGGATCATGCCACAGGATGAGATCATAGCATGGGGAGCCTTGCAACCCGTTTTTGAAGCCTGCAAAGTAATCAAAAGAGGACATTATTTGCTATCAAATTCAGTGCTTTAAATGAATGAATCACTGTTTCATGACATTTAGACTGCATGGACCAAGTTCTGTCAAAGACCCCCTTTTTTTGAATAACTCTACTCGGGCCACCTCTGCTTCTACTGAACTTGGGGTTAAGCACTTGGTGTTCTCTAAAACACAGACTGTTTCCTTCAGCATTGGTTGCAATTCTGTGAGATTCTTCCACGTGATCCCAATGCCTGTCAGAAGCTTCCCTTTTTTTGCACACATATGACACAGCTCCTGTCTTTTTGCAGCTGCTTCTTTCAGCATGTCTCCCACCAG